GTTATTCAGAGAGACACTATTGGGGAAGTATATGTATTAAGAAGCAGATTTCTACCCTGCCCCCCCCACAAGGTTTTGCCAGAAAGCTTGCACCTGCTGACCATGTGGGTGCATATTAAACCATTGGAGAAAATACGTGACTTGTACAGCTTGAGTCATAGGGTTTGCCAGAAAGCTTGCACCTGCTGACCATGTGGGTGCATATTAAACCATTGGAGAAAATACGTGACTTGTACAGCTTGAGTCATAGAGTCCCCTTCACAACTGTCTCTAGGACCGTAAAGCTATCTATAAATATTTACATAATTTGGTATAGGGTAGAGATGGGGAGTTGCCTCTACACTGTTTACTTGAAAGATAAAGGTTTGATTTGGTTTTTTGTTTGTTGTTTGTGGGTTTTGTTGTTGTTTTTTCATATAACTGATGGGTGATTTATTTTTTCTCCCACCAGGATACAATGTTTCTTTGCTATATGACCTTGAAAATCTGCCTGCATCCAAGGATTCTATTGTGCATCAGGCTGGCATGTTGAAGCGAAATTGCTTTGCCTCTGTCTTTGAGAAATACTTCCAGTTCCAAGAAGAGGGCAAGGAAGGAGAGAACAGAGCGGTTATCCATTACCGGGACGATGAGACCATGTAAGCGTGGACTTCAGCTCCAGGCTGAGGGTGGCTTCTGTTTAGGTGGAAGCCCTACCGCCATCTATATATACCCAAAAATGTTGAGATGTTGGGCATCTCCAGCTAGGGGCCTCATTCTAACCCTCCTCCCCTGAGAAAATCTGCCAGAAATCAGCCCCTCGCTGAGGCTGCTCAAGACTGCGTCTACAGGCTACCATATTTGCCAGGTGATTCCTCTGCCTTCCCAAGGGTCGTCCAGGAGTTGCTTTGCTCTGCTCAGATTAAACCTGGATTTACTAATTCGGCCTGATTAACTTAATACGTTGGTGGTTGCGTTGCTACCAGGGGAATTTAAACTTTTCAGCCTCCATACACCACTGACTAAGAGAGACAGTGTTAACCAGATGTAAAGAAATCTTGTGCTGTCCTTTAAGGCACTGGTCTTTTGAGGTTTTTATGTTTTTATTTTTTAGGATTACTAATTACTTTATGTGTGTTTGTATTTTATGATTGTGAGTTTTGTAGAATGGGAATTGAACACCTCTGGAAGAGTAAGTAGCCAGTGCCCTTAACCAGTGGGTCATCTCTGCAGGCCCAAGGCACTACTTTTCTGAGTTCTCTTAAAGGAAGTTCCCATGGGCTAAAGAGATACTCAGCCCTTCAGACTACTTACTGCCTTTCCAGAGGATCTAAGTTCAGCTCTCAACCCACTTGGCAACTCCAATTGTCTAACTCCAATCCAGGGTGTCTGATTTCCTCTTTGGGCACCAAGTACACATATGCACAGGTACACATGTAAACAAAACACCTGTATATTAAATAAATTTAAAGATGGCCTGGGTAATCAGGCACCAGAGGCTGAGCATAAATGCTGTTACAATACCCCCCTTTTTGTGTGTTTTTGTTTGTTTGGTTGGTTGGTTGGTTGGTTGGTTGGTTGGTTTTTTGGTTTTTGGAGGCAGGGTTTCTCTGGAACTTTTGACCCTGTCCTAGGACTCACTCTGTAGACCAGTCTGTCCTTGAACTCATAGATCCTCCTGTCTCTGCCTCCCAAGTGCAGGGATTAAAGGCTTATGCTACTACTACCCGCCTGTTACTGCAACTCTTTTTTTTGTTTTGTTTTGTTTTTCGAGACAAGGTTTCTCTGCAGCTTTGGAGCCAGTCCTGGAACTAGCTCTTGTAGACCAGGCTGGTCTCGAACTCACAGAGATCCGCCTGCCTCTGCCTCCCGAATGCTGGGATTAAAGGCGTGTGCCACCACCGCCCGGCTTTTACTGCAACTCTTAAGTTATCTGTGTACTATGTATGGATCCTATCATATGTAAAGAAACTTTATAAATGAGTCACTAACTTAAGATACTATGTTATGCCTTATATACAAGATTTAAAAGTCTAGTTTTGTTAATTCCACTTCCTTCTTGGGAATGCATTTACTACCCTGACTTTCTTGACTGGTCTCTGGCACACCTTTGTTTTATTGAGATTGAGACTTTGGACTTTACCCTTCTACTTCCCTTGCAGATAAAGTTAGTGATGGAATCTTCTGATGCTGTACTTAACTCCTGGGTTTGTTTCCCTCAGGTATGTTGAATCTAAAAAAGACAGAGTCACAGTAGTCTTCAGCACAGTGTTTAAGGATGACGACGATGTGGTCATTGGAAAGGTCTTCATGCAGGTATGGAGCAGAAGTCTTCAGGGGAAATTGTGCGGCAGGAAGTTAAATCTTTACACACCATGTACATAGCCATCATATGGAGTAGGGTTGTGTGTAGTTCAGTGGTAGAGCATTTGCCTAATATGTACAAGGTCCCTGGTTCAATCCCCAGTACCTGGGAAGATGGTAACAGAACAACATACATGTACACCATAGCATAGAGAAGACAAAGTTCTGTTAATGTTGGAACTTGAAGATGGAACAAACAACCCTGTCTTAGTTTGCGTCTTTGTTGTTATGATAAAACACTGTGGCCAAAAAAATCTCAAAGAGGAAAGGGTTTATTTCACCTTAGACTTCCAAGTCACAGTTCATCAGTGAAGGAAGTCCAGGAGCTCAAGAACCTGAAAGCAGAAGTAAAGCAGAAACCATGGAGGAGTGTTGCTTACTGGCTTGTTCCCCGTGGCTTGCTTGACCTGCTGCTTCCTTATACAACCCAGGACCAGGGGTGACACCATGCACAGCGAGCTGGGTCCTCACATCAATCATTAATCAGGAAAATGCCCCACAGCCATGCCCAAAGGACAGTCTAATGGAGGCAATTCCTCGGTTGAGGTTCCTTCTTCTAAGACATGTCTAGCTTTGTGTCAAGTTGACAAAACTAAACAGCATGGCCCCCACCAAACTTATATGAATGTTCTGTTTCTTCTTGATGGTTCTTCCGTTTTTCAGGACAAGGCAAGAGGGAGAATTAGTCTTGACTGGATATTAACTCTCCTCCCTTCCTGTGACAGAGCCCTTGATCTAAAAGTGTGCTCTCATTTCCTTGTCTCTTGTGTTTCCTCAGTTTTGTAACAAGGTCTGCTCTTGGCTTGGTTTGGGTCCCTATCTTCAGAATGGTGAATAATGATTTGCAAAGTAGGGATAACATGCAGGAGCTGGAGTTGTGGTTGACTGGCAGGAGAGCCCTGCCACAGTTTGAATGCGTCACCATAGATTGCCTCCTGCTTGGAAGGGTAATAGGACTTAGAAGAACATTTTGTCATTGGGATTCTGGTACAGTGGGACTCGGCATATTGTCGACCATTGCGGCTGCGTCCTTTTGGCTGCTGGCCAGTCACTGGCTCTCGGACATGAGTTTATTGATCAGGAGGTATTCAGGCTGCTGCCTTCTGAAGTGGATCAACAGTCAGAATGTAATGTAAAGCTTTAATACATTTACCTGTTCCCTGGTAGAATGATGAGTATTGTTTTGTTTTGGTTTTTAATTCGGAAGCATCCAGGCTTGTGGCCCAGCCTCTAATCCAACCACTTAGATGCCTTAGGCAAGAAGATTGCTGCAAGATGGCCTAGGCTACTGAGTAAGACCTTACCTCGAGTTTATTTTTTTTTTTTCTTTTAAAGAAAATTTTAAAGCAGAATCTTTTTTCTTTCTTTCTTTCTTTCTTTCTTTCTTTCTTTCTTTCTTTCTTTCTTTCTTTCTTTCTTTCAGTTAAATACTGCTGTGCTTAACACAGTGAGGCTTTGTGTACAAGCCTTCTACCTAGCAAGGGAAAACTTATACAAGCCTTCTACCTAGCAAGGGAAAACTTCAACATGCCATCCTTGTTAATGGTATCCTTGTTTTTTTGGTTTTTTTTTTTTTTTTTTTTTGGTTTTTCGAGACAGGGTTTCTCTGTGGTTTTGGAGCCTGTCCTGGAACTAGCTCTTGTAGACCAGGCTGGTCTCGAACTCACAGAGATCCGCCTGCCTCTACCTCCCAAGTGCTGGGATTAAAGGCGTGCGCCACCATCGCCCAGCCAATGGTATCCTTGTTAATGCTTTGTATTGGAACTGACTAATCAGAAACTCTTAACTTGGGGTCCCTTTGTGAAAAAGTGGAATGTTGACACTTTAGCATTTGATAGTACTGGACTTCATGAAGAAAAGGAGGGTATGCATATATGACTCTTAAAAGTAAGCCCTTAGATATTTTTTAATATTTTTCTGCAGAATTAATGGAAATTAAATGCAGTAGTTAAGAAATTAGACTAAATCTAGGCTAGCAAACTAATCTTAAAAGCTATAAATATAGCTTTCAAATATAAATATAGATTTGGCTGATTTAGATTGTGTGTGTGTGTGTAAACTTTTTTAAAAGTTTTGTTCCACTTGTTCCAGGAATATCCCAACTTGTTTTTAATATTTTAAACAAATCTTACCTCCTAGAGTACTGCAAGTTTGCTCTGTAAGGTTTTGTAGAGGCTTTTTTTTTTTTTTTTTTTTTTTTTTTTTTTTTTTGTGGAGGGGGTATGAATTTAGATGACTCCTTCAAAGTGCATGTGGCAAGGCACTTACCTACATGAAAAGACAAGCCTATTGTAGTGGCTTTTGTTTGTGGTTCTCCCAGTGTTTCTAAATGAGTATCCCATGATGTGCAGCCCATCTTCTCTGCTACCTTCTCCAGATCAGAGGCTAGGGTAATTTATGTTGAATGACCATAGAGAACAAGAAAAGTTAGTTTTGTTTTGCATTGCTTTTTTTTTTCTTTTGTTCTTTGCTTTCTTAAAATGGGCAACTTCTCAGCATGTAGCCCAGGCTAGCCCAGAACTGTGTGTACAGGGCTGTCTTCACATTTGGAGCAGTCCCTTTCCCCTGCCTCCCATGTGCTGGAATTACAGGGTCTGCCACACAACTAGTAAATGCTTGTGTTAAAGCACACACTACGCTTCAGTGGGTGCAGTAAGAAAAACATGGAACACTCTAGGAGTTTGCATGTTATCTTTGCACATGGGCCGTGCTGATCTTCTCTGTGTGTTCCAGTTGTAGTGTATGTACACTCAGATGAGCACTTCTGTTTTTAGACTGCCTCACTATACAGCCCAGGCTGGCCAGTAACTTGTGATCCTCTGAGTTGTGGCATTACTGGTAGGTATACCACTATGCCCAACTTGACTTACACCCTGATTTAAGATGCTCCCTTCATCATATACAGTTTATCCCCAGGATAATGTACTTTGTTGGAAGAAAGAAACAGTGCTGTTGGGCTTAGCAGTTAAAGTCACTTGCCACCAAGCTCAGTGGTATGATTTAAGTTCCATCCCAAGTTCCTACATAATGGAAGGAAAGAACCAACTTCCTAAAGTTGTCCTCTGATCTCCACACATGTGCAGTGGCACAGAGTAAATAAAATGTAATAAATATTTTTTAAAAAGAAATAGTGTGCTGGTGTTCAGCAGACATCCTGTCAGAGAGAAGAAAGGGAAACAGTCTGGTTGGTTTCTGTGCGACAGATAGTAATAAAGACAGGGAGCTGTTTGCTGTTGCTGTTTCAAGAGAAAGCAATGGAGAAGCAAAGACATCAAGTTATCTAAAGACTATTTCCCCCTGCAGAAACAGTGTTGACCAAATATGGAGAATGGCAGAGGGGAAGAGAAGGTGTCTTATGTAGCCAAGTAGCCAAGAATGATCTTTTTTTTTTTTTTGGTAAATATTTATTTATTATGTTTACAATATTCTGTCTGTGTGTATGCCTGCAGGCCAGAAGAGGGCACCAGATCCCATTACAGATGGTTGTGAGCCACCATGTGGTTGCTGGGAATTGAACTCAGGACCTTTGGAAGAGCAGGCAATGCTCTTAACCTCTGAGCCATCTCTCCATTCCCCCGCCAAGGATGATCTTGAATTCTTTGTTGTTTTGTTTTGTTTTTTTGTTTTTGTTTTTCAGTTTTGTTTTCTTTGTGGGAGTTTTTTTGAGACATGGTCTTACTATGTAGCCCTGACTGTTCTGGAACTCTTTATGTAGACCAGCTGACCTCAAACTCGGAGAATCTGCCCACCTCTACCTCTTGAGTGCTGGGATTTAAGGTCTGCACCACCACACCAGGCTGATCTTGAATTCTTGATCTTTTTCCCAAGTGCTGACTTTACAGGCATGTACCCTGTCTCCAAGTACCTTTCCTTTAGGGAATAAGGTATGTTGGGAAGGGAGCTAACCAAACACATTGAAACCCTTTCTTTACTCCGTAACCCTGTAACAGCCAGGCAGGGTTATCTTCAGAGGCAGTGTATAAACAGGAGTCCCACATGATCTGTACTTTGCTTGGGATTTGATAATTAGTGTGTCTTGGCTGGGTTTTATTGCTGTGAAGAGACACCACAACCACACAATTCTATATAAAGGAAGACATTTAATTGGGACTGGCTTACAGTTTGGAGGTTAATCCATTATCCTCCTGTTAGGAGGCATGGTGGCTGGCAGGTTCTGAGAGTGTCTATCTCTGTCTGTATCAGGTGTCAAAAGGGAAAGTGAGTGAGCCTCAGGGCCTGACTTGAGCTTCTGAAACTCCAAACCCTCCCCCAGTGACACATTTTCCCCAATAATGATGTTCCCTATGAGCCTGTGGGGGCCATTTTAATCAGGCCACACGTGGTGTGGGTTCTTCCTACTTGCAAACGGAAAGCATAGTCCCTGTCCCTGCCCTCTCATTACAATGGGTCTGCATCAGCAGGGGCAGGGGTGTTTCTTTTACTCAGGAGTACTATGCTGTCTTTGAAGGAAAGAGAAGAAGAAACAGGAATAAAGCCAGATCTTTGGCCTAAGGAACTCAGCCTGGCAGGGAAGCCAGGTGCCCTAATGAATAGTGGTGTAGCATAGAAACTCACCCAGTTGCCCAGACTCTAGGAGGATGACTGTAGAAGAGGCGGTATGTGAGCAGCAACAGCAGCCACACTTCCGATCATTTGGCTGTGTGACCATGTTTTCAGTGTCTTAACCCTGACACTGTCTCTATGCAGCTGCCCTGTTTCAGAAGACACACTCAGTCTACACATTGTATCTGATTTCTTCTTTGCTTTTTAAGGGAGGGGTTTCTAAGGAGTGAATTCAAAGCCTTGCATTGTATTGCTGTCATTGCTGGGAATGAACTCTAAAGAGAAGGATGTCATATTCACTCATTGTTTGTATAGGAAAGCATGGGGACCTGGGGATTAAGGTATGGCCTGTTTTGTTGTTTTTATTTATATATATATATATATATATATATATATATATATATATATACTCTTGTCCTTTTTTATATATATAGTTTGATAAGCACTTTGCTTTTGTTAAGGATCATAAGCTCTTTTATTTTAGGGAAGTTGTTTGGTTTGGTTTTTTGAGACAGACTGTAAACTGGGACTAGGCTGGAACTGCCAGGGATGACCCTGAACTCTTGATCCTTTTGTCTCCACCTTCCGTGTTCTGAGATTATGAGCATGTGGCACTACTCCTGGTTTACTAGAGTTTTGTAAGGGTTTGTTTTGGGGGACATGTAATCCATGCTAACCTACATTCTTCCCTACCCAGCTTCTTTTACTCTGTCATCTTTAGCCCTCAGGGAGGGATTAAATTTGCTTTAAAGTTTTGATTGATGAATTCTAAATAATAACAGATAAAAGATCTCTTAAACAGTACAATCAAAGGCCTAGCTTGGAAGAGATCAGGTGTGGGTGTACTGAGATTATTGGGGCTAGATGATCAGGAGTTAAAAGTCCTCCTTATCAACTGGAGATGTGGCTAAGCCGTTAAAGGCTAGTCTCATAACCAAAAGTCTTTATCTATTAGTGAGTTTAAAACCAGCCTAGCTACATGAAATCCTGTCTCATGGTGGAGATGAAGGGTCATGGGGAAAAGGAAAGGAAGAAACTGGAAAGAAGGGGCAACCAAGGGAGCAGTGGGAAATTGTTCAATTTGTAAAGAGTTTTCTATGTGTGTTTAGAATTTAAAACTCCAACTAAACCCTGGTACTCGTCACCATGAAACTGGAAAGATTTCTTTAAAAAAAAAATACTTTGAGGGCCTGGTAAGCAGCAGTGCTTAAGTTTTGTGTTTTGTCTTCGGAAGCAGTCTTCCCACTCTGCCCTGACAGCCTGGAACTCAAGAACTCTTGTCGTGTTCAACGATCCAAAAAAGGGGGGCGGGGGGACTTGCACTGCAGTACTTTGTACCAAAGTTGAAAACATGGTGCCATTTTCTGTAGTCTCCTTTTGAATCTTGAATGCAGTGGGAGCAACTGGCACTTGTAGCTGAGGTGGTTTTGTAGTTGTTGTTGTAGCTGAGGTGGTTTTGTAGTTGTTGTTGGTTTGGTTTGGTTTTTCGAGACAGGGTTTCTCTGTGTAACAGCTCTGGCTGTCTTGAAACTCACTTTGTAGACCAGGATGACTTTGCACTGACAGAGATCTGCCTGCCTCTGCCTCCTGAGGCTGGGATTAAAGACATTTGTCACCAGCACTGGGCCTGTAGCTGAGGTTTTGACAGTTAATTTTTAGTTATCTGCTGGTCCAGAGGACAACGAAGGTCTGAGCAGATAGTATGGATAGAGTGCCACTCAACTCACATGAACTTTCTCTCACTGTGTCTCCACAGGAGTTCAAAGAAGGACGAAGAGCCAGCCACACAGCCCCCCAAGTCCTTTTTAGCCACAGGGAACCTCCTCTAGAGCTGAAAGACACAGATGCTGCTGTGGGTGACAACATTGGCTACATCACCTTCGGTGAGGCTGGAGAGGTAGTTCAGTGGTAGAGTGCTTGCCTAGACACGCATGGCCCTGAGTTCAGTCCTCAGCGCTGCACAGAACAGCGTGTGGCAGTGCTTGGGGTTTTGCTTCTAATGTTTGAGTTCAGCCATGATTGGCTGACTCTTCTTTTCCACTAAAGATACCAAGCTTCACTGTGTCAGCCTTATGAGCTGACAGCTGACAGCTCATTCCCATGCTGCAAAGCTGCAAAAATGTCTCCTTTAATTCACCTTTAAGCTAAAGGTGTAGCTGTCTGTCGCTGGTGAATACATTTTTCTTCTACGTTTTTCTTGAAGTTGAGGTGTATCTTACAGTTATGGCGAGTCAGTTTGATGAACAGCAATACTTTCTTTATGGTACATGAGTCGTGGTAAACTTGGTAAACAGTGCATTTCTTATCCTGATGTTTACTTTTTTTTTTCTTCCTTCAAGTCAAGGGTAAACTGAGAACCAGATTCCTACCTTTCTTATCAGCCTTTCCTTTTTGGCACAGTTGATAGACTCAGGGTTCTTGATGTTAGTGAAACGGGTATGGTAAGAACTGGAACCCAAAGGCGGGTCTGCCCCAGTGCAGCAGTCTGAGCCTGTGAGTGGAAAGCAGCTCACCCTGCTGGACCTGCCATATGTGTGGTTTTCATGGTCAGGAGATGTGGATTCTCTGGAACCTAGTTTTACTTTATCACCACAGACCCTGGACAAACAGCTTTGTTCCTTAAACAAAGCTGGAATCTAGAGTTCAGAATGGAGTCCAGATTTGGATGAGTGCCCAGAGTCATACCTGGTTTTTGTGCCATGAGCTTCACTATTGGCATTCGTTGGCACTCCCTTGATTGTGTTGTCTATGATGGTAGCACACGTGCCACCTCTAATGCCTTGTTTGTCCTTGTTAGTGCTCTTTCCTCGCCACACCAATGCCGCTGCTCGAGACAACACCATCAACCTGATCCACACGTTCCGGGACTATCTGCACTACCACATTAAGTGCTCTAAGGTGAGGAGGCACCAGCATCTCTACCAGGCTATTGATTAATTCTCAGTAGCCACTTCCACATGGGGTTGAGAGGGGAGAGAGAGAGCACTCAGCAATTAAGAGTACTTACTACTCTTTCAAAGGACCCAGGTTCAGTTTCCATTGCCCATGTCAGCTCACAACCATATGTAACTCCAGTTCCTAAGGACCCTTCTGGCCTCCATGGATACATACATATGTGCATAAAATCATGCAGTCACATGTATACTAAATTTTTTAAAAAATCTTTTAAAAATTCCAAAGGTCTTAAGAAATTATCTCT